ATATATATATATATATATATATATATATATATATATATATGCTTGTAAACAAGCACGGTGCCAACGCCACCCTTTACACTGATAGCCGAAGCCGAGTCCCAGCTTACAGGACTTCTTTGGTCGAATTCACCACGGAAAGTGGTCTTCGTCAGAGTTGTCCTCTCCATCTCTGTTCAATTTCGTAATATATGTAATTCCTTAAACAGCCCTCTACTCATGCGAGGCTAGTGGCATCGATTTACTACCAGATGGTAGACAGTCTGACCTAGAGTACGCAGACTACACTGTACTGCTAAATGAAGATCCAGGCTAGTTACAAGTTTTTCTGAATAACCGGAGTGCCAACGTAGCCATGTTCGGTATGCGTTTTGGATCTTCAAAGTGTAGTAAGTTGTCACAAAATTGGTTTGGTTTAAAACTCAGCCATCACTCTTAATGGGGAAGTAATAGAGCAAGCGGACAAGCTGTCTTATTTGGGTAGCTATATTTCACCCGGTGAACGCATCACGGATGAAGTTTCGGCTCGCATACAGAAGGCTCGGTTGGCATTTGCCAACTTGAGGCATCTGTGACGCCGCCGCAACATTCAGCTATCCGCGAAGGGTCAAGTGGATGCTGCAGCATTTCGACCAGTTCTGCTATACGGCAAAGAAACTTGGATAAAGATAGGCTGTCGGTGGTAGAACACCGCTGTCTACGCAGCATTGCACGAATCTGGTGGGGCAACCATAAAATCAATCCTGAGATTGGGCGAAGAATATTAAGTAACCGCGGTCGCTCACTGGCGCAAGTGGCCGACCTCCATAAATTACGTTGTTTGGGGCATGTGCTCATGTCACCACTTAAGTTGCCACGACGCGTGATGTTTGTCGAGGCAAGTAGTGGGTGGAAAAAAAGCTAAGTGTGATCAAGCTAAGCTAGGATATGAAAACCCTAACCAGGAGACTCGGTCATATAGGTCCCGTTAGGCTCCCTAGATGGGAACCTCAGGATGATCGTAACCGTTGGTCAGAGACACCGAGTAATATGGCTGAGTACCGTAAACAATGGAGTTCGTGCATCTTCTCAATTTCTTTGCAATTTTAGTCCAATAAAATCCTTCTTCGATCCTACTTTCAACCTTTCCTGTCTTTCTCCTACCGTTCATCCAAATGAGCAGCAAGACAACAACCAAAATCGGTGCACGAAGGTGCATGGTTATTGTTTGTACAAACTGAAACTGATACAGATGGCTGAGTAATCACAATAAAATCGGTAACCGTGGTCAGATTTGCTGAATGGAAGACAATGGCTCCTTCTTGTTAAGAGCGCGGTTTCTTCAGTTCATGTGGTCTTTGGTGAATATTTCCCTTGACTACATCATGCAACTGTGCAAATGCAGCGAAGTACTCATGGATTCATCGAGCAAACCCATGCTTGTGACTTCGGTCATGTTTATATTTCACACGCGTCTGAGTCCAGACGGCTAACGAATTGCCGCATATCAAAGAAACAGGTAAATTATTTGCTCGTAGGCGGAATAGAACCAGGTATCCCAGGCCAAAACGGGTGATTTTCTTCGAGTACTCATTACCAGAGCCTTTGGCTAAACGAAGCTTGGTCCTCAACGCGACCGTATGTGTGTATGGAAACTGTAACACATCGGGGTCCTATTTCCAATTCGTTGGATGATATACAGATTGAACGATATTAAACGTACAATACCCAATGAAACACTATGTTCAATTATACCGGTGGCTACTGTCAGAACCAGGAAGGTATGGGTATAGTTTGAACACATCTACTTGGTAAATTAGTAATCAGGGTTTTCGGCCAACTCCGCTAGGTGAACTGCAGGTTGTACACCAACCCGATTATAGCTCCCAGATATTGACGTTTCATGCTCTCAAACTGGTGGAACAAAACACCTCAACCACATGACGATAGTGGATAGGGTTTTCTCAACAGAGATTAACTGAGACACTTGATAGTATGGTCGTGCCGCAGTAGTCTGGTTGCTGTCATCGGGGTGATTTGAACCCTATGGTTCGAGGTTCGAATCCGACCACTGCAACCTAACTTTGGTGATAAGAAGCTTTGCTGTTGTCCGTTTCAGTTCCAAACCTAATCTAGCGGGGTCTTCTGAGGTAGGCCACTCCAAGTCCCGGGGTTAAGGTTGCTGGTTTTCATCACTGAACGACAGGTCGTCCTGACTAGGGTTTTCCGTCTTCTGGTAATCACACTATAATGTGTAATAAAAACTGAGCATTTAGCAACGGGGAGGCACCAGGTTTGTGACTCAAATATTCTTGTGATTGAAGATTATGTTTTAGTTTGCATTACTGAAGCAATTAACTTCAAATTTTGAACGAACTTGGCAATGAAGCCCCAGCTTCATTCCCGAAAATTAATTGTACAAAAGTGTATTCAGTCAAGAAAAAGTATTTATTTGTGGTTTACAAAAGAAACAATGAACTTACCATTTACCTAACCCTCGACCACGGTAAGCGGAATCAACAATCACGTCCTCAATGTGGCCACGCTGAAGTGAAGCATAATCACGAAAAATCAAATAATCAGTACCTTAGAGCATTCGTGAATAAATTTCTGTTCCACCAAAAGTGTTGCACTTGCAACAATTGATTTTGTAGCCACATCTTCAATCACCAAGATGAAATATGTTTCAGGGCAAGCCATCATCCGTGCAAATTTTTCTATCCGTGTTCGAATTATGAATACGAAAATCTGGGTACTTACTCTGAAAGTCACACTGACTGACTGTGCCTACTTGAGTCAGTTGTGCGAGTAAGTCCAAGTAACCTAAATGCACGAATAAAATTAGTCAAAGATCAACAACTTGAAAACCATAATCCTTTGAATTCAGCGGTCTTGCGTGGAACAATGGTTGGAGAAAATCCCCGTTCTGTTGCTTTTTTGAGCAGTTGAGCAGATCGTCGATGGCTAGTTCGGTCAGAATATGCCTGTCAAACAACTCCATATAGCTGTTTGCCTGGAAACACAGAGAACGTTAGTTGGTATGATGATTCCTTGACCAGGAGCAAAAGTGTGAAACATCGGGAGATATATTTTACTTCATTTGATGCACCAATCTCACGGTACCTGGTTGATTTATTTTCGCATGCTGGGACAGTACGTCAAAATGAAGCTCAACATCGGTATGATAATTATCGATGATCATCATCGTCCAAGATAACATCTCTGACACTACAACCGTGTATGGCTTACGCCACTACTTTTTCTCATTTTAAAATGAAACGTGAAATGAAATGTCTTTGTGAATGATATCACAGAAGTCCTTGAAAACCCTTGTCTCCAGGCACACGACGATAAGTTGGTGGGAAACAGCAGTCACCAAAAAACCATTCGACCTAACATCTAAAAATTGCGTGGTTAGCCAAATGGGACCTATCACTGTGCGCTGAAGAGCAACTCGCTCTCAGATGTCGCCGGTCCGTCACTCTTCCTCACAAACTTCCTTGGGATTCCGGAACCCATCCCATCGAAGAATGACATACAAGTTCACCCCATCCGCAACATGCGGCACAGCAGCTGTAATGTCCCGCAAAGCATTATTCTGTCTCAAAACTACGAAAAGAAACAAAAGCGCTGAGGCCTCTCTATATGCAGCCCTCGTCCGGCCGCACCTCGAACACTGTTCCGGTGCGGGACCTCATACTCAGCAAAGATATCCGTTCACTGGAGCAAGTCCAAAATCTCGCTACTAGAATAGTCTGGGTAATGAAGCAGCTGAGTTACAGGGATATATATCACACGTCTGACGCCAGACTGTGCCAAACAAATCATGGTACAATAATCTTTATGAAGAAGAAAAACTCGCAAATTCAAGGTCTCACCATGAAGCAGAACTGAAAGAAACGTTAGCGCAATATAAGCGATCTCTAAACTTCAGTGAAACTAAATCTTTTCTCACTGGAATGACGCAGGCTACGAAGAGACCTGATACATATGTTCATAATAATCAGAAACCTCGAGGATTCTCCGATGAGCTACGTGATCCACTTATGAGAAGATAAAGGTCTCCTTGGACACCCAAACAACCTGGAACGGACAAGAAGCGGACTGCAAATTAGGCACCACTTCTTTAACAGAGGTGTCCCAGTCTGGAATCGACTACCTGCAACAGTAGTGCCATGTCAATCCAGACCAAACCTTTAACCGCTGGTTCGACCTAGCGTTTAGCTTCCTTTTTTCTCCATCACAACGAGACTGCACCTTGACGTGGTGTGGTGACTTGTGCACCTCTCTGACCCAACGAGCTACACAGGATAGCTTTTACTGAACCAAAGATCTACTCACGTTTGGAAGGTCAATGGGTAGAGGTCAGACGAAGTCCAGTCTCCTGGCCCTCCAGGTTGGGGGTTCGACTTGAGTCGGCATCTCAGTCGATAAAAGGTGTTGGAGGAATAATTGATCCAAGTAAATGGGCCTCCAATCCGCCTTAACCGCTGCCTTGCGGTTAGGTTTTCGTCAGAACTAAANGGTTGAGAATCCTAATCATTCACCTGCTTAGTGGCTGGACACCCTGGCAGTACCCGTCCATAAGGCTCCAATGAATACACAAACAAAATATAATTTCATACTGTATCGGTCGTCGCGCAGGGTAATCAGGACCGCGCTGCCCATTGCATCGAGCGGCGTGGGTAGTGATAAGTGGGCTACTACTCAGATATCCCAAACTTTGTTTAACTCTTTGTCTTCAGTCCCTAACCCTATCCCTTTACCCATTCTTTCAACCCGTGATATCCCCCCAGACAACTTGGTCGTCACTCGTCAAGGGTCTTTGCCAAATAGCACAGTAACTAGTTTTCCTGTAAACAAAGTGCAGATTCTGAAGCCTCATCAACCTCTCAATTTGGGGGCTTTCAACGTGAGAACTATTCTGCAGTTGGGTCAACAGGCGTGTCTTGCGCGTACAATGGAGTCTCTAGAAATCGATGTCTGTTGTGTATCGGAGACACGAATTCAGAATCCTAGTATTAAAAGCTACCTGAGTGCGCCGGGTCCGTCCTTGAGGTATTTCCTTCGCAAATCAGGAAACGACGCAGCCCGCTCACTGGGTCAGCGTGGTGTAGGTATCGTACTAAAAGATAAAGCTGAAGCCTCTATGATAGATTGGATACCCGTCAATAGTCGTCTGTGCGCAATGAGGCTACAGGGTTCGGTTAGTGTTCGGAAGGGTAGCAACTCCAAAAGGTGTTTGTTCATCATTTCCGCGTACGCACCAACCAACTGCAGTCCCGCTTCACAAAACGACGAATTTTACGACAAACTCGCCGAACTGATTTGGTTGAGCCGATATTATAGTGCTCTGATATTATAATGCTGGCAGGTGATTTTAACGCGCAGATCGGAAAACTGAGCAAACCCGAAGCCTGTCTAGGAGGGCACTTCGCCCTCCCTGCACAGCAAA